TGGTCTATATATATATATATTGATTTTTTTCTCTAGTTTACACCTCAAGAGAAATTTGAGTGTTTCCTTTAATTAAGGTTATAAGCATTCCCAAAATTCTGATGTCATATGCCTCTATCTGCCTTACCCATTAAATGTATAGACTGTGGACGTATTTGTTGAATGATAACCCATATAGACCTCACATAACAAGTGAGCTTTATGAATCTAGTCAACTTAAGCTTGCTCATGCGCCTGCTCCATGAGAAATTTGTTCAGCTAACTAAAGTTGTTGTTCATAGTTGTGATTTGTGCATGTATACTAGTTATCCTATCAACCTCAATCATACCAACTTCTTTCTTTATACACCTTTATATGACGCACTATTCCACTCTGTATTACTAATTGCTAATCTAATCAATAGGAGCACTAACTTGGTATATGTTTTCTATAGTGCCGCCTATCCTCTTGCAACTGAATCCAAAAATAGTTTAGAATAAATATATAGAATATCGATAAATGTTCTAGGACCTCCTACGTCTGATGATGATAAGGAACAACCAACAATAACATTTCAAATCTCTCCCACACTTGGGAAGGCCTTTGCCTAAAATTCGAGTATCTCATTTCTCAACTTAGTTGTCTTCCTCAATTGAAAGAACCCTGCAATAAAATTCTTCAACTCATGAAATGATAGAGTTGGGAGGTTTATCTTAAAGATGCCTCTTAGCTTCCCCTAATAGTGAGAATGAAAAGGGAAAAGTCTAATATTGTCCGATGAGAGTCCCCGTGTGATGTTCGTATCTGTGATCTCTATGAAATTTTGGAGATGCACTTGTGGATCTTCATGTGGTAAAACTGTAAACTTCCTTCTTGAGTGCAAGATTTGCACCATATTTTGTTTTAACTCCTTTCTTCTAGTAATGGTAGATTTCATGATACTAGACTTGATGTTTCTTACGAGTGGAATTTCCTCTTCGAGCATTTTTACTAGGGCTAGTGGTTGGTCTGCCATTTCAGTCGATTGTTGGTTGTGTTATTCTTGCAACAAGGCCTGATACCTTAACCTCTAATAAAGAAACCTTTTTGGTTGGAATATAGTTAGGTTTACGTCATCTTTCGTAAGGTTAGCCTAACTTTATAGTATAGCATAAACCTGTCACCTGCAATGACAATAGTTAAGATCAAATTGTTAACACTTATAAAATAAAAATAACAAAAAAAATGTCAAACTCGTCAATACTTAAGTATCCGACAATGATGCAAAACAATTGTTGTCTCTCAACACACATGCAAGTGTATGTGGTCGTAAAGTAATTAAGTGATTGCAAGTACTCGAATGTCGAATCCCATAGGGACTCAGCATTGACAAGACCTTGATTTAGTATATTATAATTACAATAACAATTATTGTCCAACTCTAGAGAGTAAGTTTGTTGTATAACGATAGTAATTACTATCCTAAAGAAAGAATAATGAAGTGAGTAGATTGTGGAAGTTGTTCACAGAGATCTCCTAGGGCTATGATGCGTGTCTAATTCCATCATATTTACATATAGTTGTTAAAATAATTTAAGATATATAATAAATAATTGATTCAAAAGATTTCTATTATGCTCATGGTCTATCGAGCCTCTAATCGTCTATCCAAATTATCCTCATACTATATCGTTGAGTTGGGATAATCAACTATTCAAAATGAATTTACATATTTTACTATATTTTTGTCAAGGAAGGAAAACTAAGCATGTCTCTATCCTAGCCGTAACACATTCTACTCTCCTTAACTCACATTCTACTCCTATTTTTCCTCTATCGAGTTCAACGAGCAATTATTTGCTTATCATATTGGTCGTGACACAATATATTAGTAAGAATAAGATTAAGACAACAAAATGTAACTGTAGAATCCACATTAAAACTCTGTCTATAAAATATTTTTTATATACTATTACCATAACCCTGAGTGGAAGAATTTTAGCCACTCATAATCTGATTACAAAAGTTATACTTCATGTAGCAATAAGAAATAAAGTTAAGAGGTAAAAAGGCAAGCCTAAGAGAATTGCGACTTTATTCTTGATGTTTGCTTCTACAATTTTCGTCCTCCTCTAAAAATGACCAAGGATGAGTATTTATAATATTTTAAAACACCTAGAAGATCTATCCAAGTCACACTGGGAAAAGGAAAATTTCACCCGTCTTTGGAACCTGATGGTGTGAGGTAGTGACCCTTTCTCTAGCCCTCGCAGCACGTGATCTTCTTTCACGCCCTAGAGAACCTCATGTAGTGTATGAAACATTGAGGGGGGGGGGGGGAATTCGACCCCCCTTCGCATTGGGAGCCATGTCACGAGACCCGAAGTTTTGCCTTGGGCTTGGCTTGGCAAAATCTTTTTATTTCGTTCCATAATTTTATCCTTTTAACCTACACATAGAACATCTTTAATAAGTGCGAAAATATGAAAATTGTTATAAACCAGAGTATTAAACTTAGATTATCCTCAAAATAAGGTATAAACATACGAAAGCATGACTAAAAAGAGTGTAAATATGCCCCACATCACAAACTTAACGAATAACTTTACCCTTCCTTAGAGTCCTCCCAATATAATAAAATATGAGTTTTACACTACCAAACAAAGATAACAAGACTCATAGTGACATATAAAAGAAATGAGTTAAAAGTCAATAAAATGTCAAACTCGTGTCATAGAGTCAAAATAAAAAAATTCTTTCAATTTTTTTTACAAAAATCCCAAGTGTTCCAAATCTAAAATTACCAGTCAAGCCGACCTTAAAATTGTCAATTAACAATGTATTGTACTAGAGCTAAAAGTCCCCCAACATTCTCAATCAGATCACAAGTTAAAGCGACTAAATTAGGTGTGTAATCAAATGTAAGTGCCAAAACAAAGATTAAAGTTGAATCGAAAACAAAATCACTCTAAGATTCCCCAAATCCAAGCTTTACAACTCCCACAAATATATTTTGTGGATTTGAAATTCGTCTATTTGAGAAATGTTCTAAAAATGTAGGCTTCATGTGTCAAAGGCTAAGTTGATGCTAAGCGTCTCCGTAGCCTCCATATTTATTGCATTTTTAATATAAAAAACCACCCTTAAACACCCTAAAACCACCTAAACCCCTTGAGGTACAAACCAAACACATTTTCAATTCAAAGTCACCTTATGAACCTATTAGTACTCTTAAATCGCCAATCTTAGGTCATCTAATCATATATTTTACCAATGTCAACTTTTATTCTTTGAAATACTAAATTTGGCTCAAGCATTTTGAATTATTCTCTAGCTCCCTGGGACTGTCAAAATCAATCAACTAAGTTGAAATCATCATACAAACCTATATGACTTTTCAATCCCCAATTCCAAGCATGTTAACTCCTAATATTGACTTTAATCAACTCTTAAGTTTTAAGCTTTTAATTTTGTTTTTTTCTTTGAAATATACTCGAGTCCTTGGAAATGGGGCTTGTTTCGCCTATCCTATCTAGGCATAAACCATATATTGAGGCTATAAAAATTTCACTTAGGAGAAAAGAATTTTTATACTCATAAAAACCACATATGTCATTACACCAAATAATGTTTGGAAAATAAGTTGTTGACCAGCACTTGGGGAGGTTTTCGTCACATATGTCTTCTTTTTCACTGTATTAGATACCGACGTCTGTATCATCGTAGGGGCACTTCCCATTTCTGAAATCCAGTAACTCAAATACACAATCTCAGGAGTGAAAAGCTAAGTTTCACCATCCTTTGACTTACGATATATTGGATTCAGAGTTGGCGCTGAAACATCTTGCCTTTTCTAGCATGGCATAGTTGTTGGTGAACGTTAGCAGTTCATGCTTTATGTGGTCAACAAATTTGGTTTCTTGATAAATTCGAGACAAATATTCTCAACTATATAAAATGTAATTGCATTGACATTTGATACTTTTTCTTTGTGCCTTGGGTGTGTCTTCTTACTGATAAATCATAAAATGTGAAGTTATAAATTTCTGGTCAAACAAAAATTGGTCACGAAAGTAATTATTATTTACTTTTTGAAAATCTCCTTATAAAATGTTGTCGCCCCGCCCCCCCCCCCCC